CTGCCCCGCCGGCGTCTGGCTTTGACGGAGAGGCGCAGCCGGCCCCGGGCGCGCTCCTGTCCCTACCTCGTCGTTGCTGATGGGGACCGAGGGGTGGAGGAGGTTCCCGATCTCCCGCAGGCTCTCGAAACGCTCCGCTTCCAGCCTGACGCGCTCGGCGTCGCACTTGAGGATGGCGTCGTCGATGAGGAGACGGACTTTCTTGATCTGGGCCACCTGCAGCGCCTGCACGGGGACCCGGGGGAGGTGGGCAAGGGAGGAAAGCGCCGGGGGGGGCGGCTGGCAGGCGAGCGCGGTTCATCACGGACCGACACGGCCTCTGGAGCGAAACCATGGGCTGAACGCATCAAACAACAGCCCGGGGACAAAGGACCGACGTCAGCCAGGCTCTGACAGGGCCTGAGCCAGCCACGGCGTCACACGGCGCCCGGCAGGGACGAGGGGGAGCAGGCAGCTCCCGTGGCAGCAAAAGCCGGCAGCGCCACGCTCATTAAACATCGCGGTTAACGAGCTGGGAAGGAGGATGGGCAAGGAGGAAGGGATGTGAAGAGGACACGTTAATGACTGAGGCTGCTCAAATCCCCCAGGGAAGTGCAGGATGAGTCCCAGGCTGCGGAAGGATGAAAAGGGATGAAGGACACTCAGCAAGAGCTGGTTATTGCTGGTGTGGGGCTGGGGGAAATAAAGATCCTCCTGGCAGGGGGTTCAGGCAGTGCCCCCTCGCTTGGTGCTGGGGTTTTGGGCACCTCAGGCCACCAACTCGGGCAATGAGAGGCAAAGCTGTGGACAAACTGGGTGGGCCAGCGGCACAGTGGGTGGAGACGGGGTCAGACTCACCCCCAGGATGTCGGCCGTGAGCTCATCAAGGTTCTGTGCGCTCTCTGGTATGGACTCATCTGTCCCCACGGGCTCTTTTTTCTGCAGTGGGAGGAAAAAGAAAACCCAGCAGGGTTAAAGAGTAAAGCTCCAGGGTGAAAATATTCCTCAACGATGCGAGGGAGAGGCCTGGAGACCAGAGACCTGGGGGAGATGCCACCAGTTAGTAACGTCCCACCAGCGAGTCGCTGCTGGGACAGTCTGCCTTCGTGCCTCACCTTCATCTTGTCTCCGATCGTTTTGCTGCACAGGTTCTTCAGCTTGTTCAAGTTATCGGCACGAAACCTGCCTAGAAAGCAGAGGGGAGGCAGCTGTCAGCCAGCTGCACAAGCGGGAGCTGGGCTGGCATCGCCACCCAGCACCGAGAGCAGGTACAAAGCCTCAGGTGGGAGTGGGACAGGGGCAGCAGCTCCAGGGATGCCCAGTGCCACCGGCCCAGGGCGTTTGGGAAGGGCACAGGAGGGTTTGATGGCGTGAGAGCACGGTGTGGGGCAGAGACGTGGGGAGCAGAGGGCTGCCACGCAGGGGTGCCATTTGAAAACACCCGAGCGATGCCGCAGCGGGCCACA